GTTTATGAAACCTACCTACAAACAAAAAGTAAAAGAAAAATAAACAAAGTCAAAATAATGTTAAAAGTCGTCCCATAATTTTGCATGATTTAGTGCTTCAACAATTGCTATATGGATTCACACATTGTCGATTTGCAATCCTTAATGAGCCTCGGATGAAACAAAATATCTTTGAACGCCTTGAGATTTCCATCAGACTCAAAGGGCTGTAGAAAAGACACTTACAAGCAGTTCAACATGCATTACAAAGATGGTCATTCATTACAAAGTAGAAGCCTAGTACTTCACACTAAATACATCAACATGGTAGCATTCAAGTCCCTAGTAAAATCTGACTCCTAGATCTTTCAAAGTACAATTGTCTAATGAGGAGTAGCATTCTTTTCCTTGAAGAATCCCTTGATTGCTAGAGCCATATAAAGTGCGAAGTGCGATGTGCTTGAGCTTTTGATCTTCAAGGCTGCTCTTGGTTCTTGTCCTTCTAAGCTTGCCCCTTAGACTTAGCAATTGTCAATGACAGGAGAAAAATGCTTGCAGTTAAAGATCTCCACAATCCTCTGTTGATCAAAGTTTTCATCGCGCTTGACCATGCATGAATCCATATTTCAATTGTTGAAGGCAGAGAATCAAACAAGATTATGGGAGTGCAATAGAAGAAATAAACGTGGATGCCAAACAAGAAATAAAGTATGCAGGAACATAAATATGCTCTAAAGTGATAATGTGTGTGAAGTTGTATACTAAAACATGGAATTTTGGGCATGCAAGAAAACAAATAAATGTGGATGGAAAACAAGGGATAAAGGATGCAAAAGCGTAAACATGCTTAAAAGTGGTAATGTGTGTGAAGTCGTGAAGTTTTACCCTAGAACATGGAATTTTCTTCATTAAGTATGCCAAGCAAGATCCAAAGGAGAAGTTGATGATTCGCTATTGCAACCCATTAAATTGGCATTCATAGGAAATATAATTCCTTTGAAAAGAAAGCAAATACCATGAAGCTTGAAGAAAAAGTGAATGGTGTGACGCTTGAAGAAAATGATGACATGATGCTCCAAAGTTATGTGCTTAAATTATTTTGATGTCTAAAGGATGAATTTTTTTTTTCATGAATTTATCTTTGAAGAACCTTTTTTCCTTTTTTTTTTTCCTTTTTCTTTTTTTTTTTTTTATAAATGTGAAATGCTTTGGATTTGGTTGAATAAGACCAACAAGTTTGAAACATGCAAGTAAAAATGTAAGATGGTGAGAACTTTGAAAGAGAGCTTGGACAAATTTTTTTTTTTTTTGGTTGAAAATCATGACTTGAAGGATCTGATTGAAGAACAAGAAAATATGAGGACCAAATTTAATTTTATTCTAAACATGAAATGAGCATGAGATGAATGTCAATTTGAGATGGAAAATGTGATGTGAAATGAGATTTTTTTAACATATTTTTGTGCAATTTTTATATGAGATAAAAGAAGTAATGTAGTGAACATGGGTGAAATTTCTTTTTGCAATTTTTTGTGAAAGATGAGATGAAAAATGAAATGTAAAATGAACAAAATGGAGAATGTCACATGAGATGAATATGAAAACATGTTTTTGTGATGCATTAGATGGAAAATGAAATGCAATGGACATATGACAAGTGAAATTTGCAAGACATATGGAAGATTTAATTTGAAATGAGTAGGATGGATATATGGCATGGGAAACAATCATGAACTTTTTTTTTTTTGATGCATGGGGTTGAAAGTGAAGATACAAAGTGCATGGAATGCTCCTTACCTCAAGAATGATGTCTAAATGCAAAAGATGAATAACTAATCACCTCAAATGTATATAATAACGAAAACTTGTCATATGCGGAGACAAGGTTAGTGAACTAAAATGCCCCTTTGTGTCTTAGACACGGGATCCCTAACCTCGCGGGTGCAATGCTAAGGGAAACATGTCCTAGGGTTGGTATCTCTTTAAGGCCAATACATGTTTTCCTAAAGGGCATTAGGCCTTCTCAACCATTTATCCTTTCGAAATCAATGGGAGATTTTTCCAAAAGCTAATCCACAGGATGATAATACATCATCAAGTGTTGTATTAACCAATGGAAACAACCTAACAGGAACCGATTTTACTCCTCAAGGTAGGAAGAATTGCTTTTCCAAGCTAGATTCGTAAGGATTCCAGACTAGAGGTTGGGTTCACCTTTGACATGGACCTAATGTAAAATGAGGGTGAGTGTGTGCAAGGGGCATGACACTCCAATAACCTGCACAATGGCAACCACAAAAACAACAACATATGTCCCATGGCAATCAAATAAAGCATGTAAAGCACTCAACAAATATATCATCCACAAACAAACCTACTTACACAGAAGGAAGGGACTCACCTAGTACTCCCGTGCCAAATGCAAAAGGTTAGTAACACAAAGCAACCAACACTTAGCATGCAACAAGATATAAATAACCGCATAAGAGGGAAGAGACTCATTGAGTACTCCATAGCTAAGTGTAAAAGGTAAGTATATCCACACACAAGCAAGTAGGCATGTAAGCATGATGCATGATGAATAAGCATATAATATCAATTATGGATGAGCATGTGAGATGATATGATGCATGAACATGTGAGCAAGGTATGATGCATGTCAAGATATAGCAAGGTAACTACTTGAAGACAAAACGCTCAAAGCAACCACTAAAACAACGAGCAAACAAACAACAAGCAACACGCGACAAGCACATACAATAAATAACAAAGACCCACAAAGACTCAACAAACAAAGAAAAATCAAAAGTTGAAAATTCCCCAAAGTTAAAGTATTAGCTTGACCCTCATGAACCCAGAATATGGAAACCAAAGATTCTGGGTTCTGTCCCCAGTGGAGTCGCCAATCTGTTGACGACCACTTAAGATTTCAAAATAATGAAAAATTAAGTGTAAAATATGAAAAGGAGGAGGCAACTATTATAACTCAAAATTTAGTAGAATTTTATTATTATTTTTATTTTAATTAATATGTTTTGTCTTTGATTTCCTTGTTAGGTTCATGAGC